AAGTCTTACTGTATGATGTAACTTACGTACGTCTTACTGTATGATGTAACTTATGTAAGTCTTACTGCATGATGTAACTTATGAGTCTTATTTTATCATGTAACTAATGCCATTGATTGTACATATATATGCATTCTTTTATTTTGACATAATGTTTTATGTACTGGTCCTTGTATCCCTGGTGTTGTTAGAAAATTGATGTTGTATATAATTAGAGAATTATTATTAAGGGTATCAGATAGTTCTTAGTAGATATCTATTTTCAATGATTTCATTATGCATTATTTTTCTTTGTATGAAATCATCTATTCGACACACACATACACACACATATATCTCTCTCTCTATATATATATCTGAGAGGTATAAGTTACCAAAGCATGGTACTGAAGAAAGTGATATACTTAAACTGGAAGCTTCAATGGACGATGCCACATTAGATTGACATTCGATGGAAGATTTAGTTTCTGAGTTTCTCAAAACAGTCACAGAATTGTTTGCTTCTTTGACCCCACTGGATGTTTGATATTTAACAGTAAGGCTAATACCATTGGACTATTTGTATAGAATGATATTGTGTTGTTTCATCTTATTGTTTGTTAGGCTGCTCACATTGTTTTCTATTTTTCATTTCATATTTTTTCTTCTTTAAATTAGGAACATAAAAAACATGGAACACTTTTGTGGTGGATTTTTAATTCGTTTCTATTATGTTCACAATTTTTGTAAAAATGTTAATTTTTATTTCGGTGTCACTGTTACTTTGGTTTCTATTTCACCATTCAACAATAATATTATTTTGTTCAGTAAAAAAAAAAACAATGCCAGCTACATGTAGATGTTTCTTAACTTCTGAATTTCAAGTCTACCATGAACATTTTGTTACTGAACATAGTGAAGGTGAAAGTCATTGACTCATGCTTTAGTTCAAAGTGTTTCTGTTGACATTGTAATCTCACATCTCCTTTAACCCCCCCCCCCCCTTTTTTTTTTGTTCTTTTTTTTTTTTTTACAATGAGTAACTTATACAATAAAATTGAGTGTTGCTGGTTTATTGTTGTGGCCATGTATTATAACTGTGTTTGTTTTTATGTCTGCTTACAAAGGACTGTTGTAGAATGTCAAGACACTACCTTATGAGAGTCTGACCTATGTACTCTTTGAAAAAACAACAACAACATGTGTTTGCATAAAGACTTGTTTCACATAAAGCTAATAGTTGCCATGTTTCTTTGAATTTTTTTTGCATAATTAATTTTCTTTACAACTTGTTTTCTTTTTTTTTTCCATCTATTTTTGTTATTTAGCAGTTAAGCAAAATCTGGGTTAATGTTTTTTGTTTTTTTTTAAATGATTATTTTTGTTTTGTAAAATTGTTATTGATTGTATAAACACAAAACAAAACAATGACTATGATTAAGATATATATGTATAATTAAACAAATTTGTATTAAAAATGATAACCTATATATTTGCCTCAGTTAGTTACCTTTACAGATGTTTTATATTGAATTTAACTGTGTTACTTTAAGAGCAAGTCTACAAATTAATCATGACATTACAACTAATAAGAAATGAAACTGTGTATTACAATTTTTGCTCTGTACTTCTTGTGATTTTTGTCTGTATTGCTTTCTTAGTGCTGTAGCTTGATTGTAATGTTTTGTTTTTTTTTCAAAATGTATAATTCAAAAAACAATATTCTACAACATTATTTAGACTATAACGCTTTTCTGAATCACTGCCTTGTTCTGTAATATATGTGAGAAAGTTAAAAATTATTATCTTTATATCATGGTGCTTATAAAATAATTTTTTTTAAAGAATAAATATATATCTTACTTCAAAGACGTAATATATGTATATGTGATATTTAGTCTGAAATACATATATATATGTGTGTGTATTATGTGAGTATGTGTGCAAACTTCACCTTATCATCTGTTCATCAAATACTGAGGCTATAAAGGAACAACCATTTGGTGATCCTAATGACTTTTCATTGTTAAGTAATTGTATTTTTTTTTCCTTTTTTAAAAAAATATTTTGTTTACTTACCATTTTTCTTATTGTGTGTAAATATGTATAAATACAATCTGTTGTTACAATGTCAGTGAAATGGCCACATTGCTTTGTGAAAGATTTTATTCTCAGACCCCTGTGCCTTGCCTTCTCTTTGTGTTTTTGAGGAGTTGAACTTTGTCATGTCATTATGTCCACCGTTATCTCAATATCATCTCTACTGGCTTAACTCCAATGGGTTGCATTTTCTACTGCATTTTGATAGGTTCTAACAAAGACCACTCCCACCCAGTGTTTCAGGGGCATTAAAATTTGTCAAGAAAACATTCTCTCCGACTATGATGTAGGTCTTATAAACAGACTGATAACCAACTTGCATTGTCTGTTCTCCATGCATATCTTATCATAGATTCTCATGTACTTGACAAAGTGATCATCATATGTTGAACACTTGTATGTATACGACTGCATTGCATTCGTTTTTTGATGCATTCAGTTTAAATGCCAACTCTTATGCCCACAAATGTTGTGTTTGGTAATTATATTTAAGGTCTTTGAGCTGGTATTTAGTTGTTTCATTGTTTTTTCTTGTAACAGAAATGGCACGTTTTTTTTTTCTTCTATCAAAATATATTCATAAACTTTGATGTTTGGTTACTTAAATATTAAAAAACTGATTCTATTTTGTGTTGAGGAAATATAAGTACCCTTATCAATGCTACAAAATATTACTTCTACTTCATCTGTATGTTAATCGGTTTAATGTTTTAAACTGTTGCGTGCATGTTTGGAAAACTGCAGAGGTATTTCTGAAGCACAATCCATGCTGTTTTTTTCTCTCCCCTCTTAGAGATATTAATAAGGAAGGTTATGTTTCATTAATAACTCTGCTCAAATGTTGCTCTACATTTCTGATAATATGTAATAGCTTCTTTTTGTTCTTCTTCCAAAGCTAGTTTCTTTTTCTCCATTTGATTTCAGAGTATTTTGAACAATTATTTTTTTTTTAGAATAGGCCTTCTAATTATTGAACTGTAAAAGTGACTCCAGTTAATGCTCCAAAGCTAAGTTTGTTCCCAATGTTGGATCAATCTTTATTTTTTACATTTTTGTTTTTCATGTTTTTGATGTTTGGGGACATATTTTTTTATCATTTGATGCAACGCATAGTTTTTGTTTTGTTTTTTTTTTTGTTTAAAAGATCTCAGTATTTTGGGCTTTCTTTTTTTTTTTCAATGTTTATCTGAAATGTATACAGCTATAGGAACAAAGAGAACAGCACAACTTCTACTATTGCTAAACTTGTGTATTTATTTGATTCAAAGTTGGCATGAAGTCAAACAGAATGCTAGATAAGATTTAAGATGATTAAAATGATTCCTGTATTAGCTAGAAGTCAGGAGTCAGTGTTAAAGGTATTTCTCGTAACATTGAACAGAAATAAGTTATAGATTCCAATATCAAAGTATTTTTAAGTTTTTAAAATGTGCCAACAACCACTGTTAATTACAGTCAATCTAGTTAATCAGACCAGCTTCTTATTCTGACAGAATTCTAAAGTTCTGCAACAAATCCTATACTAAATTTAAAATCTAGTTAATAGGACCAAAACTATAATGTCCTTATGTAGTCTGATTAACCAGATATGACTAGGTAGATAAGTCTAAATGAGAAGCTTGTTGCTAGCTGATTTAAAAGCTTATTGAAAGATTTCAAAACATCTTGATGGGTACATGGTTCAAATAGTTCAATAAATCCAGAAGCTTATTACTGAATCTACTTCATGTCTGTATATACAGTGTTCCTATCTCTTTGAAGACAGATATACTTCTTAATTGCATTTTTATCTCCCTTGTTCTGATATTACTTTCACAAGAGCACCCACCCTCAATTTAAAGTTGTTTTTTAAATAGATGCTAATAAAAATAATTTCTTAAGCATTGGTTGTCCAGATCACTCTTGACTTCCCTTTGCAACCAACTAGTCCCAAGAAAATCTGAAAGATGTTTCATTTGAACATGGTGTGAAGACTTATCTGACATTGTTTGTTGTCATTTACATAGCTTCAGCAAGCAATTTATTGAAGGGCTGTAAGTTTGTATTCACTAAGAGTAGAGTATCACAATTATGGAAGTAGTCTGTAGAATTTCCTGTAAGAAGTCTCCCACTGTTCTTTTCTGTATTTAAAAAAATCATTCACAGGTGTTCTCAAATGGATGTTCGTGTTGTTCCTAGTACCTGGATTATATTGAACAGCTCTGTCTAGTGATAACACTAATGGTGATAGCAGTGACCAGAACGATAGTGCCAATGGACTGTTGATTCTGTAGGATTTCAATACAAGTTTCATGTTGCTTAAAGGCATTTCTTATATTCTCTTGGATTGAGTTCAAATTGCTAACAATATCCAACGGAAAGTTTCCTTTTCTGTTATTTACTTTGTACAAGTCAAACAATTCTGTTTCTATTTGATTTTCATTTCTATTTGATCATACTTCGTGTATGGATTCAGTGAGTGTTGATCTTTTTGCATTTTTATTTTTCTCTTTTGTACTTTCAAAGTTTTATTGAGATCTTTTGAAGAGCTATTGTATCATTTTATTTTGTAAATATTGTTACAAAGTTTTATTTCCTATCATGGACAGTTTATTGTGTGTATTTGTGTCTACATCTGTATCAAGTTTAAAAAAAAAACAAGATATTTGTTTCTCTAGATCTATAGGCCTATAACTGGCGGTCTCTATGTTGTGTCATTATTCTATTATATATAAATTTTTTTTTATTCACATGATTTCACTAAACAAGATCTATTCTAATGTTCTATTTCAGTGGTTCTCCATCAGCACCTGGGTTCACTCTCTCAGACATTATGCATTAACCAAAGAAAAAAGAAGCCCCCCCCCCCCCCCCCCCCAGCTTTTTTTCCCAAACCACCAACCTCTTGCTATGTTCCAAAAAGAATTTTAATCTGTAGTGGGGGGGGGGGGGGGGGGGGGGGGGGTTAACAGTTTAATATTTGAATGTTGAAGGTACTTTTACTTTAATGATGTTCTTTGTAACATTTGACCCCCAACTCTCAAGCTAGACCATTTAAAAATCAAACAATGTACCAAATAATTGTTAGGTTTGTACTAGAGCTACTTTCAATGTTTACTTCAAACTTCAACAGTGTAATTGCTGTACATAGTGTAGCATCTATTTCATCCATTGAATAATACATCAATAAAACTGTATTTTAGATTGATTGACAATTGAGTAATTTCATTTTGTTGAGGCATTATCACTTGTGAAACTGTCAGAAACTTCTTATAAAATTATTTTAATTTCAATAGCACAATTCTCTTCTATGACTTCCTTCAGTCGGGAAGCAACTATGGTCATCTCAGTTGAAAGCCTGGGCATCAACTACGGTAGGAAAGATGTCGCCCACACAGCAGTTCCCTCCCTCTCCACACAGCTGATATTGTAAAGAAATGGCAAGTGCCGATACATTTTGGGATCAACATTGTCACAGGCTCTGCCAGAGTGTAGCACTGTGTTGCAAGCTGCTTTAGAGTCACTTGACTCCTTGATTTTACCATGGGTGGACTTCTAAAATCTTTCCTATATTTGGGTACAGCTGCATGGCAGCAGTCCGATTCATAGTTTTCTTTCTCCTACATGGGTAACAAGCCTAGGCTAGTAGTTTCTCCTACCTAAAACTGATTTAGGCCCCAGTTCCACTGGATCTAATATCTGAGCCACACATGAATGCCAAGAGTTGGACTGGTTGTCAAGAGGCTATTGGAGACTAAGGCCATAGGAAGCATGAGTAGTTGAGCATATCCATTACCACTTCTGTCAATAACCCTAGTCTGTAGATAATTCTGTTGGTGTTATTAACAAATATAATTTAAGCTAAAGACTCACACTTTATACAAGCTAATAATAATAATCTTTATTGTACACCTTCTTTATAAGCACTTCTTTGTAATCATTGATAATCTTCTACCATGACTTGTCAGAATGCCATAACACTCATGCTATGACCTTCCATCAATAGATGCTAAATGTTCTTAACTCCAGTTGAAAAGACTTCCCCAGCCTAACCATTAGAGTTTGATGGACTCTGAGGCATCTAAAATCCTAGTCTTCCACGTGATTTGAATTTGAGACTGTGATTTGAATTTGAGAGGCCTCAGTTCCAAGTATACAAATAACTTTTGCAAAGACTTATTTAATCCTGACATGCTACTTACAAAAGTATTACAAAAGATTTAATATTGTATTAGTTGTTAGTTGGCATGCTATGATGCGGTTTGATTAAAAAAAAAAAAAAAAAAAAAAAAGAGTCATCAGGATTCGAACCCGGGACCCTCCGGTGCGGAAACCAATCACTTAACCACTAGGGCACTGCACCTTCAATGTTGCATGATAAATCCCATAGATCAGTTCACAATTAAAAAAAAACCAAGAGTTAAAAAACGTATAGTTTATTAGGCATAACAATCAGATTTGTTTAATAGATAAATATTTTTATTGACATTTTGTTAACAAATATTTTGTTCAAAAAGATTGAAAACAAGCATATACTTTGAATTAAAAAAAAAAAAAAACCCACTCCTTACACCGCTCCCCCCCCCCCCTCAATAATTTTGGAATGTTTGAATAAAAATGACAAAAGAAGAAGGCCAACAGATACAAATTCAATAAAATCAAGCCAAAAACATTATTCACATGAAAGATTATAAGCCTCATTTGCATAAAACAAATATAGTAAAAGTTTTTGTATATATATTTTTTTAATATTATACACAGACAAATATGTTGACAGTTAAATTGTAAAAATACAGGTACCAGATAAAATTCTTTTAGAAAAGTGGAGACGACAATTTGAGAATTTTTCATTAGCAAAAAAATTTTAAAAATCTGAAAACAACCGGTTTATGAGCAGGCCATGACCTTCGGGGGCTCAGACTAATTGATTTTGTTGGCTGCATTCTAGGAAGTTAACAGCTGTGAATAGAGCTAGAATAGTGTTCTTTTATTGCCATTAAACATACCTTGAATATCCTGCAACAAAGTTTATTAAAATGTTTGTTGAAAAAGAAAACAGGAACAGTTCCTAAGCTGTGGAAATATTGGTTTCCATAAACTTGATTAAAAAATAAAAAATCCAGCCATTTGGTAAAAATGAAAGGTCAATAATTTTACACAAAGTAGCTAGAGAGGACAAAATGACCGAAGAGATTTGTTACAAAGTTTAAAACATTATGTAACAAAAACATATAATAAAAAATCAGCATAGACTAGTAATCTACAAATAAAAACATAAAATCTCTGCTTTCTTCATGTCAGTTTTGTGGATCTTCTTCATGATCGATGGGACTGGCATATGTTAAGTGCTAAGAAATACCAGGAGACTTTATATCTATATGCAAATATTAGGAATGCTAGGAAACATTTTATGAGATTTTCAGGCATTTGATAATTGACCGTCAAAGAGATTATTAACTCTCTCCTGACGATACCAGCGTTGATTCCACCAGAAATTGGTAAATAATTACGGAGGGAAAGAGTTAAAGGAAACTCGCTGGAAAAAATGACAGTTACTGAGCTGTTTCTTTGCTGATAAATCAGAATGTTATAATTATATGTACATATAAAAATCCAGCCAAATATATTGATGCTGTGCTTTTACATGAATTGAATCAGCAATTCCTTGTGTTGATGTACATCTTAAGATCAGAACTTTTATGTCAAATTAAAACCTTGAGTAAAACGGGCACAGAACTTGACATCATCTAATCTACAATATCTCTCAGAATTTTATTTCTGTAGCATAAGATTAAATATAATATATTTTTTCCCCTACAGATTAACACCTAAAAACATTGAAACAACTTACATGTAGGTAAAAGTGTCAGAATGTTAATTCCAAAATGAGAAAAATTGGGTAAAAATACATTAAGGCGTACTTGTGACTATGTTACAATAAAGAAGCCATTGCCAACATAAGACAAAAATTTCATTGATGACTATCACTGTGGTGTGACCCACTCGCACTGTTTGATGAATCTGTGGTAGACTGGAAGAGGGAACAAAAATTTCTCAGGGCACTCATTAGGCTGAGGGGCTTTTAAAAGTCAAATACAATACTTTAAGCTGTTAAAATCTTGAAGCCAGATAGTTTGGTCTGTGCACCAGTAAATGAAAATAAAATGAGTCAAAATGTGTTAAGCAATTTGTCAATCCTATCAATGGCAACATCCATCACTATGTTTCCTCCATTATAAAAAGCATTAAAGAAAGATTAATATGATGTTTTTTCTGCAGGGGAAAGGAAATGTTAAGGGCCTATTGCAATTATTTAGCCCCCCCTCCCCCCAAGGAATCGTCTGCATATTATTTCTTTTTGTAAAAATTTTCATTTCTAATTGTCTAATTGCACATGCCAGTATAAAAAAAAATCTCTGAATGACATAAAAACGTGACAGGGACACCATAAATGGAGACAAGTGGCGCAGGACATGTTACATTTATCATTTTTAGTTTATAAAACAAGTGAACAACTGGGTTGCAAAAAAAAAAACACAACAATTTAGCCTTGGTAATAAAATAAAAAAACAACAACAAACAAACAACTGAGCCGACAGCTGCTTGAGACCATTCGATAAATATGCAACTATAAAAATCCTTTCTATTCAACATTGTTTGTTTTTTTATCAAAGGTTTATTTTAACATTAGCAGTAAAACTTGGTACACTACATGTATGCTTATTGTTTACATGGCACACTCTTAGTGAGACTATATGACTTCAAAAACTTATTCAACAGATACAGTGATAGACTTCTTTACTTATTTATAACTAGACAGAAGCCTTTTCACCCACTATAAGTCAAAACAACGCATATATACAGGTATATATATGTTCTCAAACAAAAACAATCACCATTCATTCATTTTGGCCAATCATCCTTCAATCATTGGGTCATCTCCGTTAGCTGCATGGATCTCAACTTGATGATCAAGCAGGCGAACATCCTCTTCAGCCACAGGGTGATTTTCTCCAGCCCCTTCTTGTTCCTGGTAACCAGCATGACCATTGCCATCTCTGTCCTGCTCAGGTTCACCTTGGTTCTCCTCTATCTCTTGCCTAATGAAGTCTTGTGCTCTCATTTCTCCTCGTTGTCCACAGGAGACAAATGGTATCACCAGGATGTGGGAATAGATGAGGACACCAATTGGTACAATACAAAGACCTGGCACCTGAAAAAAGAAAAACAAAAACCTAATCCATTAATTTGAGAAAACCTTTGAAGTGCTGTTAGGTGTGTGAAGTAAAGTTTATGTTAATGTGATCCCGCCAATGCTTGTCAGCATTGTTAGAGAAGACAAGTAGGAAAGCAATACAGAACCACCGTAGGGGTGCTTAAGGACCAAATCTGTTGCACTGGCAAGGATGGAAGAGCCCCTTCTGCCTGAAGCTTACTGGTTTAGGTGCCAGTTGCTCACCTTTGCTCCTTTTCCTGTTAGTGGAAACAGTTCAGCCGGGCCCAATATCTGAGCCACACATGAAGGTCAGGAGTTGGACTGGTTATCAGAGGCTATTTCAGACACACGCCATAGGAAGCATTTTATAGGTAATGATGCACTTAAAACCATTACCACTTCCAGCAAAAACAACCTTGCAGAACCAAGCTAGTGTATAGGCAAGGCAGTAGTTATCGTTAGATTACGGGTACTGACAAAATGAGTTATGTTCCATTCCCACCACCTTTGATTTACAAACCATTTCAGTAGGACAAATATAATGCAGTTTACAAAGTAACTTACTCACACCAACAGGTTATTTTAACCAGGTAAAGGCAAACCTTTTTTGTTTTTGTTCTTTGATTAATACATTAGCCTGTTGAGGAGGGGGAACCGCCCCCTTTTCGAATTTTTTTCTTTAAACAAATCCGCCAGCGCCCCCCTCTAAGAAAAACAAGTATAAAGAAGCGTGAGAAGGCAAATTTAAACAAAATGTCATTTATTTATTAATTTTTATGCTATCAATAACCCTTATCCCGCTTGTGAGACGACAGCATGCCAAAGGTGATCTTCTTTGGTGAGCTTGGAGGAGGACGGCGTTACTGAGGTGCCCCCCCTTTAGAGCACCAAATTCGGGAAAATATGCAGTCTCAACTTGGTTTTCGTAGTTGTGTGAAACACTGCACTCAGCCTTAATCATAGGAATCTAAGACATTGCCAATATTATCATTAAACAAA